TTTATCCCCCCCCCCCCCTCCAGTGCCTTCCATGGGCCAAAGTCCTTTTGCAAAAATGTTACTTTCTCAAAAATAACCTTTAGGAGAAGTGGAGGACATTTCGATTGTGTTTAAAGACCACCAGGGGTTTAAAACTGTCCCATTAAAAAAAGGTTTTACTCCAAAATACTATTTTCTTAGAAAATAGGAAGTGACTTTAACTCATTTGTTGTTTTAAAACTTTTCTCCTAGACTAAAATGGCCCAAAGCAGTCCAGAAATATGGTGGAAATAACTCTATGTCCCATGTTTTGGGGCAATATATATATCAGTGTATATTTTTGTGGAGGGGATGTACCCCTACAAGGCTACCTGGGAGACAGTGTTACTCCCTGTACTCTCCAGTTCTAGATCTTTGTGTCAGTGCTCTAGCTGGACTAGAAGGATGCAAACATAGCTCTTCCACTGCATCTGCACTGACCATGTAACACAGTTTCAAACGGTATTAAAGGAAGTGGTTTTGCTGTGCAAATGGTTACAAAAGAAAGCATGGAACCAGTTTGAGGCTTGGGTGGTGCTGACACAAACAACAGAGCACTGATGCACAGTAAGGGCTTTATTTCACATAGTTTTGGGGATGTGTTGTCAAAGGCTTTCATGGCCGGAATCACTGGATTGCTGTGAGTTTTCCAGGCTGTATGGTCATGTTCCAGAAGCATTTGCCCCTGACATTTCACCCACATCTATGGCAGGCATTCTCAGAGTTTGAGAGGTCAGTTGGAAACTAGGCAAGTGAGGTTTATATATCTGTGGAATGTCCGGGGTGGGAGAAAGAACTTTTGTCTGTTGGAGGAAAGTGTGAATGTTGCAGTTGATAACTCTGAACAGCCTTGCAGTTTCAAGGCTTGTCTGCTTCCTCCCTGGGGGAATTCTTTGTTGGGAGGTGATTAGCTGGCCCTGATCATTTATTGTCTGGAATTCCTCTGTTTTTCTTAGTGTTCCTAATTATTTACTGTCCTGATTTTAGAGTTTTTTTAAATACTGGTAGCCAGATTTATGGTTTCCTCCTTTCTGTTCAAATTGTCCACATGCTTGTGAGTTTCAATGGCTTCCCTGTGTAGTCTGACGTGGTAGTTTTTAGAATGTTCTAGCATTTCAGTGTTTTCAAATAATATGCTGTGTCCAAGTTGGTTCATCAAGTGCTCTGGCTTGTTTCTAACAGACCGCACAACCTCTGAGGATGCCTGCTATAGATGTGGGTGAAACATCAGGAGAGAATGCTTCTGGAACATGGCCATAGAGCCCGGAAAATTCACAGCAACCTAGTTTGGGGGGAAATTGGCCACTACAGTTTGAAACTGGCTTCGAACTACATTAGATGATCAGTGTAGATGGGACTTTAGGTAGCTGTATTCCCACTGAACTCTCCACTATGGGATAAACTAGTGAAACATTCCCTTCTCCAACTACAGGGCAGTGGTGCATCTTTTCTAGGTCATGGGCTAAATGAGTCAAGACCTAATAAGTGTCTTGCAAGAACTCTGTAACACACCCTTGAAGGTTGCCTGATTTGTATCTGACATGTAAGAGTTCCTTGGCAGATGACGAATAGGTTTCCAGCAGGTAGAGAGTTTAAAAATGCCTCACTTTGTCATATGTAAAATACCGGAATATAATTGAGATGCTGTGAGCAGTAAATGCACATAAAAGCCTGTTCAGGAACCATAGGAAAGAACTCTCTCTGTGTGTTTTTTTTTCTTACATAGGAAATATTCTTATTTTCTTTTGATGTGACTATATTTCATGGACCAACTGCGAGTGCTTATAAAAGCATTGTGGATGAGGATTATAAAGCCAATTAAAATTGTGACTCATCTCTGGAAATGAGTTTGTAGGTAACTTGTTAGCCTATAACTAGATATATTTATAATAAATATTTTGAGCCACTGCCTAGAATTGATGTTCAAAAGTATTTGTTTCACTTTGATATATTTATACGTACATATTTATTAATTCGAAAATGGCAATAAATACAAGACAGACATCCTGAATTAAGTATGATGGTCTGGAAATGTAATGAGAGGCTTCTGTTTCTTCCTGCTGGGATACTGAGCAAAAGAAATTGACTGGTATGCCATAACAGAAGTAATTTGTGCTCCTCTTTCATCAAGGAGTATTGCATACTTCATTAAAAGTATGTATTTGGCATGCAAAAAGGGCAGAGGGGAGCACAAGAATAATGGGCCTAAGACTGCATATTTTTAATCCAAGGGAGTTGACAGATGGTTTTGCTTGAAAGCGTCACACTTCATTCTGAAACCCAATGTGCATCCTAAAGCGGGATATGCATCTACAGGACAAAAGCAAAAATGTAATTGAAGCTCAACTCATTTCCCTTCTTTTATGTGTATGTAAAAAATTCTTCCATGTTTGGTTTTAAAATCAAGCTTCATTTCCATAAGAGATAAAACTTTTGATTGCTCTTCTCTGTCTTACAATCTAGAATCTTATGTCAATGTATAAACAATTAATGTGTTATCGAAGGCTTTCATGGCCAGAATCACTGGGTTGCTGTGAGTTTTCCAGGCTGTATGACCATGTTGCAGAAGCATGACCTCTGATGTTTTGCCCACATCTATGGCAAGCATCCTCAGAGTTTGTGGGTCTGTTGGAAACTAGGCAAGTGAGGGTTATATATTTGTGGAGTGTCCAGGGTGGGAGAAAGAACTCTTGTCTGATTGAGGCAAGTGTGAATGTAGCAATTGGCCACCATGATTAGCATTAATGGTCTGGCTGATTGCTGCCTGGGGGATCCTTTGTTGGGAGGTGTTAGCTGGCCCTTATTGATTTAGTCTTATACAGTTAGGTGCATACATGGAGGATAGGATATGGAATATTTTGAAATGTACATAGCAATATAAGAGGAAAAATGAGAGAGGAGGAGAGAAATAAAAAATATATAAAAAATAGTCTTAGAAATAGCCTATGGACAGGTTTTCCATTTAAAAAGCAGACCAGTTTCCCAGCATCTGTTTTTCTTCCCTTCTTCTTTTATGCTCCGTGTTTGCTTTTAAATTATAAGTGCTAAAGAGCAAGGACTTGTCTGCTTAGATGTTATAAATCTCCTCATAAAACATTAGCACTATATTAATGACAGGAACAACATTTGTAACACAAACCACACCTCGCTGAGCAAAGCAGTCTTAGCTTAAGGCAGTGTTTCAAAACCTGGGGGTTGTGAGGTAGTGTCAGAGAGGTTGCCAAAGACTATCAGAAAACACAGTATTTTCTGTTGGTTCTGGGGGTTCTGGGTGGGAAGTTTGGCCTAATTCTGTTACTAGGGTTTAGAATGCTCTTTGATTGTAGGTGAACTATAAATCCCAGCAACTACAACTCCCAAATGTGAAGGTTTATTTTCCCCAAACTCCACCACATTTGAGCATATTGAGTATTTGTGCCAAGTTTGGTCCAGATCCATCATTGTTTGAGTCTACAGTGCTCTCTGGATGTAGGTGAAGTACAACTCCAAAAGGTCCACATGGAACTCGAGGGGTGCAGGTGGAGAAAGGATCTCCCCCTCCTTTTTCTCCCTCCACTCTCCAAGTTGCACTGGCAATTTGGCCAGGGTCAACAGCTGCGATGAGGGACAACCGCCAGCAATTTTGTGCTGCATGGTCACCGTTATGACGGGGACAGGACAGTGATGGTAAGTGTCACCCTTTGTCACCAGGCTGCCCAAGTCCACAAAAGCAGAATGGCTGTGTAAACAGCGGTGACTAGTTTCAAATCAGAAGTGACCCAACTTTACACATCCCCACGTTGCATGTAAGCACCGAAGCTGCTATGAATCTCTTTGACATCCACCAAACTTTGGATGACATCTGGCAAGACCTCCTTGACATCAGCTGGCGAGACAGATAGAGGTGGCTATCATTAGAATATTGATGACTCCCAACCCAAAACTTTGCATGACTTTAAAAAGCATAGAGGATATAGTATTAATGCCTGTGAAAATGTGTAGCCCTCCAAATGTTGTTAGACTCCCAATTCCTATCATTCTTAGCTGCCATTTAAGCACAATATCATTTCATTCAGAATCTAAATTAAAAGTCTAGCACTTAGAGCTTGCCATTCATTATCTAAATATTTTCCTTCAAGAAGTACAGACAGAATTTGATTAAAAAGTACACCATGAAACAAAACCATTTAAAACCAAAACATACTGCATTAAAATGGAAAAGCATTTAATTTGAGTCCATTTTCCTCCACAGCTTTCAAATAATTAAAACAATCAAAGAGGATATATTGCTTGGAACGAAGTGATGATAACATGAAAAGTTTTGAGATTAAGATCATAGGACCTTTTATGTCCTTGAGGGTTTTCCTAAGTGCCATTTATATAACCTTTCCTAACAACTACTATAGAGTTTTAATTCCATGTGATTAGAGTCAGGAGGAACAAACTCTATAGCAGTGGTTCCCAACTTGTGGTCCGTGGCCTCACAGTACTACACCATTGCAACGAGAGTGACTGGCCTCACAAAACCCTTTTATAGTGCCGAGGCTTATTAAATATAGTTTTCTGTAGGCGAGCAGATGGAAACTACTGAATAGCATATGTTTTGTATCAGAAACTAGAGATTGTGTGGTTATCCAATACAATTTTCTTAATCAGCAACCCAAATAACCAAACCGAATCTAAAGTTGACTAAAAACTGATTTGTAACCCTTTTAATGTTGGAGAGAGGTCCCGGGTCAACGTGGTCCCTGGTCAAAAAAAGGTTGGGAACTACTGATCTACAGGATTACAATTTTAAGGCCAAATTCATTAATTTCTGGTTTTGTTACTAAACCATTAGCTCTATTAAACAAAATGACACAAGCAATAATTTGGCAATGCTGAATTAGAAAAGTTGGTGTATGTGTGTGTTTATGTATGTGTGTCTTCAAGTTGCCCGTCAACCCTTCTCTACTCTCATATTAAATGCAGTTTTCTTTTTTTAATTTCCTCCTTCGTTTTAGGCATTGGACTGGGAGTTGGTGTCCGGGAATATGGAAAACTTTCCAATCTGGACAAATTTTACTTTGCATTTCCAGGAGAAGTTCTGATGAGAATGCTCAAGCTCATTATATTACCTTTAATTATATCGAGCATGATAACAGGTAAGACAAAACATTAAAATGGTATGTTTATCTTCATTTTCTTGTTATTTTGTATTATTCTGTGTATTCTTATTTCAGTAGATAAACCAAGGTGGTTAAAATCGATATATGCATTTAAACCTTTCTCTCATACGGCATTATTTTCATACAAGTAGTTGCTGTTGGATGACACAACACATGGGAGAAGACCTTCAATTCATAGAGTATTTGAAATGTAAAGTGAAATGTCTCCTATGGTAATTAGTTTCCCAAGTGGTTCAAATGAAATCTTACATGAAGGACCCTTCCAAACAGGTCCTATATTATACATTTATACATTGGGTATAAAGTTACCTTCAGGCTACAGGTGTTTATAAAACATACATGATTTTTGTGTTGGAGCTTCACTCTCATCTCTCATCTAGTTCTGGCCCAGCTTACGTGTCCAAATGTATTCCTCCCTATGAGCCATCTAGGAGTCTAAGATTGTCTGGGGAGGTCCTGCTCTTGGTCCCGCCTTCTTCACAGGCACAATTGGCAGAGACGAGAGAGAGGGCCTTCTCAGTGATGGCTCCTCGGCTATGGAATTCCCTCCCTAGGGATATTAAATCAGCCCCCTCCCTCCTGACCTTCTGCAGAAAAGTGGAAGCCTTCGGAAATCTAGTGCAATAGATAAACACGGAATTATGTGCAACTGAATTTTGGAACGACCCTGGCAATGAGGCTAATTGTGAAGATGTTGGCTTTTATATGTTTTTAAATGTATGTGTTTTATAATTCCATTTTAAAGGCTGTTTTTAGTTGCTTATTGTTGAAGGCATCAAATGGCTGCCTGGTTGTAAAGCCACCTTGAGTTGCCACTGGGCTAGAGAAAGGCGGGGTAGAAATATCATAAATAAATTAATAAATCTCAGGATCTGATCCCAGGTTTTATGTTTATCCTAGATTATCTGGCAGTACGGGCTCATATAAAATCCAGTTCAAAGTAGAAAACCTGGGATTAGATCCTGGGATATAGGGGCTGTCTGGAAGGGCCCTAAGAGTGGGAGACCATATTGGGTTTAGGGATGAGAGAATAGAAACTACGCGCCTTGCAGGTGGCTTAGAGTCTCTCATTAGTATGTAAGGGAATACTCTGTTATCACCAGTCATTGAGTGATAAGAGAAAACCTGGGGATGTCTCTGCTACAGGAGATGGAGCTTTGGGAAGGGTGGGGTCTGGTCCAATCCATGCATTAGGACTGAGAGCCAATCTTTGAAATTTTATGCATGAAAATCAACACAAGTTTACTCTAGTTGCAATTTGTTTTTTTCTTTTAAATTAATGTTGTTGTGTACCAGTTATAGAGCAAAATATAGTACATAGAAACCTGCTCTGTTCTTTCTTCTTGGATACAAAATATGTTGGTTAAATAATGAAATCACAGTTGCGTGTGCATGACAAGTGTTGTTTTCTCATTCGTGTCTTCTGGTGAAAGTGACAAGATTTTGAAAATAAGTGATAGATACTAATATTGAATTGTTTCCCTTCTTTACTATTCCTGAATCTTTCTGGAGATTCCACAAAATATGAACAGTGTACTAGCAATGAACAAACTTCTAGAGGAAAGTAGTTTGTCTTTATTCCAGAGAGTACACTGCAAGTTGCTTTCTCTTGGCCCTTCTATACAGCCCTATATCCCAGAATATCAAGGCAGAAAATCCCACATCATCTGAGTGTGGAGTTGGATAACCCAGTTCAAAGCAGATATTGTGGGATTTTCTGCCTTGATATTCTGGGATATAGGGCTGTGTGGAAGGGCCCACTGTCCATAACTGATCTCATTTTATAATGCTTAGCAACTTCAAAACTAAGTGGTCCTCATGATAAATCTGATTTTAGATATATTATATGGTTGCACCCAATTTATGTCCACAAAAATATTTGAGATACAATTTGGTAGTGGTGGCGAATCTCAGGGCCCTTCCACACGGCCATATAACCCAAAATATCAAGGCAGAAAATCCCACTATATTTGCTTTGAACTGGGTGGTTATCAGAGTCCACACTGCCATGTATCCCAGTTCAAAGCAGATAGTGTGGGATTTTATTCAGCTGTGTGGAAGGGGCCTCATACATACCCGTATATTTTGGGTGTTATGTTTCAAGCTGCTTCTATAACTGACCTGCGGCAGTTGTGTCAATGTTTTTAAATTAAAGTTTTCTTCCCATGGCAGTTTTAAGCCTACTCATCCATTGTATAAAGCACAATATGTCAGATAGCCAATTGCATTTTTGCCTCTGTTTTATAGACCCAATACATCATCCTTTAATATCCACGGAGAATGGTAACTGTTCTTATTTCAACTTTTTCCATCAGAAGCTTATACAAATGTGGCTTTGCAACATATTGTTGCTTAACCATAATGGGAGGTATTTTTTGTTCTCTGACTTTGTAGGAAACAGAGGAAAGATTATTAGGAACCCTTTCGCACCTATGATCGTTTTATGAAAAGCATTGTTTATTTACATAAAATGAACAGGAGACAAGAAAATAGTTACCAATACAGATATCTTCTTGTGTCTGCAATTAGAAGGGGTAAAATTAAAAATGTTAAGATCAGATCAAAAGTTGCTATAGTCTTTAACATCATAGAACACACACACAGAGAGACACTGTTCATGTGATGTTGCACGCTGGGCCTGTACATCAGACTGTAGACAGGACATAAATTCTGTGTGCCCAACGGGACGCCGGGACTGCCTCAGATTAAAGGCCTTTGGATTTCCTTAAAACACAGAGTCTTTAGATTGCTTAAAGGTTCAACAATGTTCTTTATTAAGGAAAACAAACAGGTACTTTAAAGCTTTCTTAACAGTCTATAGGCTCTTTCAATCTTGTCCACAGGGAACAGGCACTATCTTCTTAACTGTAACTAATGGGGAAATCCTTAACTTCTAATCTGGGCAGTCTGTCTTTGCCTCTGTTGGCGTGGAGCCCCTACACCCGGTACCAACTGCTTCTGGCTTCCGCGAGAGACCCTTACCAAGCAGAGCTTTGTAGACTTCCAGGGAAAAAGGAGTTCAGGTTTCGGTGATGGCTGGCTGAAGTCCCTCAGCAAAGGAGCTGTAAGGCTGTATGATCCTCGGCCAAGCTGTGGGCTGTATAACCCCGGCCAAGCTGTAGAAGACGAAGCTTTCTACAGGAGCTCTTGGTATTATGTCCTGCATGGAAAGCTTCTCTTTGTGGACTAAACCCAAACTGGCTCCTATTCCCTCCAAAACCCAAAAAGGGGGCGGGACCAGGGAACCTAACTATAATTGACAGGTGGCTTGCTCTATGATTGCAGCCAAAAGAAGCCACCTATCTGCAGAGTCCCTGAAACTTAGGACTACAACAAACATTCAATGCAAAGCAAACAAAATTGGAGCTCCTGGTACAGCTGTACCTGCACAGTTCAGGGGATGAAAAGCTGGTGATGGCTGAACGAACATACAAAAGATGGGTTGTGGTAGGTTTTTTTGGGCTATATGGCCATGTTCTAGAGGCACTCTCTCCTGACGTTTCGCCTGCATCTATGGCAAGCATCCTTAGAGGTTGTGACGTCTGACCTCAAAACCTCTGAGGATGCTTGCCATAGATGCAGGTGAAACGTCAGAAGAGAATGCCTCTAGAACATGGCCATATAGCCCAAAAAAACCTACCACAACCCAGTGATTCCAGCCATGAAAGCCTTTGACAATACATACAAAAGATGGTTAAAGGGAAAGAGGATTTTATAAGATTTCTCTTACTATTGGATATAATATCAAGCGGAGACTGCCCAATTCATTACTTCCTGCCCTTCTTGAATGCTTTCTAAGGCCCCATCTACACTACCATATAATCCAGTTCAATCTGCATTATATGGTCTGTGTAAATTCTTATAATGCAGATTGAAATCTATATAAATAAAAGTGTAATGTTCATTTGTGGGATTAACATAACTCAAATACCGCTGGGTGAATTGACACCAAATTTGGACACAATACACAATATCAGACCAACGAGTGACCATCAGTCATAAAAACACTGAAAAACACAGCAGAAGAGACTTAAAAAGCCAGAAAAAAAAAACCCCATTACAATGCATGCACAAAACCACATATATACACATATACACAAAAACACACACACACACACACACACACACACACACACACACACATATATATATATATATATATATATATATATATATATATATATATATATATATACACACACACATACATACACACACACACAAAACACATATACACTGACTGGGCCACAGCAACGTGTGGCAGGGGCCAGCTAGTGGATTATAAAAATCTATACTACCTTATAATCTAGTTCAATCTGCATTGTAATGGCAGTGTATATGGGGCCCTAATTTATCTTTTCACATCACTTTCACGTTTGAGATATAATCAAATTGTGCAGGAAATAAGTGACAAATATTAGAAGGGGAAGCATAAGGGATGCCTGATATAGTTCTTCTTCTACACTGCCACATAATCCAAATTATAAAATCGAATAATCCAGATTATCTCCTTTGAACTGGATTATATGAGTCTACACTGCCATATAATCCAGTTCAAAGCAGATAATCTGGATTTTTATGGCAGTGTAGAAGGGGCCATAGTAGGAATGGCGGTGACATATAGTATATTACTATATGCTATTTCTTTCTTACACTTCCTAACTTTGGTTCTCAAAAGAAATAATAGTTGAGCATATGTATACACAATACATTTGTTTATTTATTATTTACAACATTTCTACCCCGCCCTTCTCAACCCCCGAGGGGGGACTCAGAGTGGCTAACACTGACAACAATTCGATGCTGCAAATATCACAGTAAACAACAATATAAAACCATACATACATTTACTTCTGAGGAGGTTGGGACCTTCTTTACTTTGAGTCCCCCCTGTTCTGTGTGAGTGGTGCTCTGTTTCCTACAAGCAATAAGTACATATTCCTGTTTAGTAATGAGAGTAAGGCAGCAATGAAGAC